TATTTTTATTTATTTCTAAAACAGTAAATCATTTATTTATTTCTAAAACAGTAAATCATTTATTTATTTTAACTCTAAAAATAAGGTGCTACAATGAAAGTGTATAATACATTAATTTGAATTTATTTAACAAAATATCAAATATTTTTTAAACTTTTGAAATTTTTTTTGACTTGATCTATTTAATAAGAACTTTTTTCTTAATAGTTGAATCATTGAAATCAATATATACCACGAGTTATTGAGTGCAATAACTTTATAAAGAGTTACTCTTGGAGTAACTTGATCCCTACTCCTTCCCATACAAACACACACATATACACAAACACATATAAGATAGGATCAAATGACAACAAAGTGTCAAACTTTAGTTAGACACCAAATATCAACCATTCAATCTAATTTAATCAAATGACTTTTATTCATTCACTAAAAATTTGATGCTTCATAAGATCATTATTATTGTTACATCCACAACTACAATAATCACCACTATCTATTGCCTCTACCATCATCATCACCACCATTATCACTTTCATCATCATTACTACTACTACCATCGTTACTATCATTGCCATGATGTGGTGGCGGTAGTGACATTTGTGGTAGTAGTGATGATAATGGTTGTGATGACAAGATGAAAAAATATGGTTCATAAAATAATAAAGATGAAGTGGTTAGTGTCTTAATTGTTGAAGAGAAAAAATAAAGAAATAAAATGTTAAAAAGATGAAAGGAGCATATCAAGAGTGGCTAGAGTAGAGATACGTAAATAGCGAAATAAAAAATGTGGAGGAAGAGGAAGTACGATAAAATTAACGATAGGAATAAAATAATTAAAAAATTATAAATATATGAACTAAAAAAACATCTATTTTAAATTACAGGAACTCATCAAAAAATAAATAAATATAAGAATTAAAAATATCTAATTTAAATTATAGGGATTAAAATATAAAGTGAAACTATAAGAATTAAAAAAATATATTTTACCCTTAAAAAATTACTTTGTACATAAGAATGTAATATCCACATCCACATTTTTAATAGATAAGCCTTGTTCTCTGCTTTTGTTTTGAAAATTTTATAAAAATTAATATTTTTTAAAATAATTTTATTTTTAAAAGCTATCTTTTTCATTCTCTTTATAACATTGTTTGAACTGTGCTAATGTGGTATAAGTCTTTAATTTTGTGAGAGTAAAAAAAGAGTGCAATAAACATCACGAATGAAGATACACAAAATATATAAAATGTCTAGAAACTTAATTTAGAGTAATTTTAATAAAATAAATTTAATATTAGATATACAAAATTAAATTAATATTTTTGTTATCTCAACACAAAAAAATGTTACAAAAAAATTAACAATAAAGATTTAAAAAATTAAAAAATTGATAGTTAAAAAATTTATCTAAAACTATAAAGATTAAAAAGGATAAATTTTTAATTTTAATTTTTTAATTTTTAACATGGGCTAGGTATAAATCGAAAGTATTGTGGCCCAACAGCATCAACACACGGTGACATATCAGTGCCTTGTTGGCTATATATACTCTCACGAAACCCTCACTATACCTCATGCTTAGGGTTACAGATGCGGCGTAATTGTTCTACCACAGTTCCCAGATGAATGCAATCTTTGTGTCTTTTGCAAAATTCTGTCTTAAGGTTTTATTCTATTTGATACTTTTGCTCTGTTTTTCTTGTTTGTCACATGTAATTTAAGGGTCTGGAGTTTGGCTCTTAGGCTTTGAATCTGTGCCTTAGAGATGAATGCAGCACCCAATACCGAACCCCTTTCAACCTTTTCACTAATTTTCGCACCCAAATTTGTTTAATGGGTCTAGCGGATATCTTTGATAAGGTTGATACATTTGTTCACTTTTTTTTTTTTTTTTATTTATTTGATTGGCATACTTTATAATATATATTATGAAAATTTGAAAATTGGAAATTTAGAAAATGTAATTATTGAGTGGTAATTCAGGCAGCCTACTTGCCACGATTGTTCAATGGCATGAAAGGTGTTTAACTACTCATAAATTGAATGCTTTTGCTCTTCAGACTTGCTGAGATTTTCACTGAAGCCGGTCTAGTAAGCTCAAGTACATTTTTTGTTTGTTTGTTCATCGAAAAGTATTTTTATTTGATATTTTTGGGCATCTGAAAAGTATTTTGATAATACTTGTTTTAAGAATCAATGATCCATTGAAGTTTTGTTTTTATTTTGTGTTTTGTCACTGAAGAGATGTGGCAATTGTAACTAATGTTTGATCACGAGTTGAAATTGAATAAGTTATGTGCGTGGTTAGTAGAACTAATTCCTGCTTTGGGAGGTGTTTTGATCGATACTTTTGTTTTTCCCTTTGTTGGAGGGAATGACCAAAATTATTGATTTGAAAAATGGTTGCACAACAAGATTTGAAATCAAAATGAATATGACATGGAAAAGTATTATGTAAATATTGAGAAAACTCTTTAGAGTATTCATGTAAATATTGAAACTCGTCCTTCAATACTATGAACCTTGGTATGAACGAAATTAGCTCAAACTTTTGTTGAATCTGCTACTTTTCAAATTGAGGCCTCGAACAAAAGTGTTTCTTTCTCTTTCTTCTATTGTTATTAGATTGATCACTATTTTACACTCATTTGAATTCCTCTTATACGACGCTACTGTCCTCAACTCCTTCGGTGGGAAGTGTGAAAGAAGGTAATTCAAAAGAGATTGAGGGTGTTGACTCTAGAAAGAGGAAGAAACATTCTTGAAAGAGAAAAAAAACAAAGAACATACACTTTTTGAAAGAGTTCTTAATCAAAGGTGGGGTATGAGAACCACCCCTAAATTATAGAAATAGATAATTCTAGGAAACAAATTGTGATAACTTTTGGAATAAGAACTTAAAATTTAGGAAGAGAATTGAAGAATAAGAACTTAAAATTTAGTAAGAAAATTAAAGAATACGTTTAACAAATTACTAGTCATATCATATTGACAGAACAAAAATATTCTAATACGGAATCTTATTTATGAATATTAATATTACACAGAAAATAAGGTTCATGTAATTGCCAGTTCAATAATAGACTCAGGATATAACAAGAACAACCCATTATTTCAATCAAAGACGGAGAATCTTCAATTTGGCTTCACTTCAATTTGTCTTCATCAAGTCAATTTTAAAGAGATAAATGGCCAAAACAATATTGAATTAAGACAAAAAAAGTTAAAATTGATTGTAGCTAAACAAACTGGATCCTACATCAATTTCTTTCCTAACTTGTTCTCTACACTTATCTCTAATTGAATGAAATGGACTACCCTGCATCTTCTGTTAGACCTAACTCAACTCAAAGTGCATTTCAGCAATTGAAATTATGATAACTGTATGCTTACTATGTTTGCTTGATTTTGCCAAAATACTTCTTGTGAATGTGATGCTTCTTAGAAGGATATTCATGCAGTATTAAGGCAAATGACTTTGGCTATGATTGTTAGACATTGGCTCTGCTTTTTGGTTTTTTAAACCAGCATAGTGCAATTTAAAGTGGCATTTATCCAAGTAGTGTAACTTAAAACTAATTACTAGGGAGGAGCAATGAAAGTCACACCTATATATATATATATATATATATATATATATATA